ACTCTCGGGAGCGCCGAGCTGGAAGGGCACGAACGAGCAGAAACCGCAGGGCGGTGGATGAGATGCGTGCAAGGCTGTGCAGCTGTAGCGGGAAGCAGCGGAGGCTCGGCTGGCAGGGCTGCGGGTGCAGCGGGCAAAGGCTCGCAGCAGCACCGGGGAAGTGGTGGGGGCAGAGCAGCAGCAATCCAGCTGCCAGCAGGGCAGGGAAACACAAGGCTGGGATCCCGGGGCTGTCCCCTGAGGCACCTGAGCAGATGGTGAAAAGTCCCTCTTTTAGTGAGGAAGGTGTTAATAAGGGCCCAGTTCAGTGGCTGCTTTCACAAGCAGACGCTCAAGCACAGCAGAAGCTGCAGGACCGGGCTGGGCTCCTGCCGCAGCGAATTTCCCAGGCAGCAGCTCCAGCCTTGTCCTCCGAAGCTGACAGAGAGCGAGAGCCAGCAGTTCCCCAGCCCCGACTTTTAGCCCAGATCTCTCTGTATCTCAGCCCTACACGGGAAACCTCAGGTAAAGAGAGAGCAGCGAGCTGCACCACTCCCCTGAGCTGTCTCTGTTAAGTATCCAGTCATTATTGTCTCCTAGCAACGTGTAGTGGGGGAAATTCCTCAAGATGAAAAATTCCAGAAGAACTCCTGAACCCTTAACAGCATCAGTGCCCAGATTTCCACACATGTAGTCTGTAAAACATGTATATTAATCAGTGAAATACAGTTTAAAAAAACCAAAAAAGCAACAAATGAAAAACAGCTGTCAGAACATGCCAATTCTCTCAGAGTAAGAAAAAGTATGAGATAAAGGAAGACCAGAGCAGGACTCTTGCAGAAGGTTGCATACAAAAACAAAATTCTGGCAAAAGTAAACTATGTGACATTCCTCAAGAGACCAAAACCAGCTCTGTGAAAAGTTACCAGTGCTACATGAAGTAACTCTCATGCAGTGATGGATCTCATACCCATCTTTGCCCAGAGCATAGAAAGGGAACCTGCTGCCTCCTGAATTGTTCCTCATCCTTGGGGCAATGTCCAGCCCTCACCTGAAGGGTGACTTTTCTTCGGGAAAAACAAAGGAATAGCCAGTTGTGATTTGCAGTGGGCTAAACACTGCTACATATAAATCCAGTATCAATGTGCTTCTACTTAACCAACAGAAGACCAGTTAGACACATGCCCAAATATAAAAGTCTTAGCAAAACAAGACCAGGGCATCCACACACATTTAAGAGCTCACTCTGAGGTGGACAGGCTTGAACGCTTTACCCTGTAAAACTCTCCATGTTTCTAACCATGTAATGGTCTAACATTTACCCACTAAACAAACTATTTACATTGCTAGTTCAGATTCATTACAATATTGTTTGTCCAGGGAAATTAATTTTAAAACCTTTTTGTTGACTGACTTGCCAGAAGTATATTACAGTGATTTCATTATTTTAAAATTTCTTAAAAGGAAGGTCATTTGCAGAATGACCATTTTTCACATGCAAGACCAGTGGCTGTTTATCAGCATTCAGATTCCACCCCTTCCTCCCCACCTTACACTTAATTTTTGTGGTAGCAGAGAGGTTAGAGATACCACAACCATGAAATATAATCAAGTAAAAGAGTTTAAACCACAATTTAAAAGCTAATTTTATTTTTTTAAGTCTACGAGGCACTTGTACATTGTCTTTTTCTCAGCAATACATTTATCTATATCTGTCATTTTCTCAGAGATGCATATATCTATATCTCTCTATATATAGATA